TAAACACAGAACTGGCATTTCATCAGCAGCATGGGTACATGTTTATAGGGAAAATGAAGAAATGCATTTTTTCCACTGATACAAATTTAGCTTTATTTAATAGATATTTTATATTTAGTTTTTATTATTAAGCTTAGTTCAGTATAAATGCACATTTTCAGTGTTATGAATACATGACATGAATGATATGAGAAGAAATTAACATTTATATAGCACCTTTCAAAGGTTTGGGATAGCAAAGCAAAGCATAAATTCTCGTGTAACGTCTCAATTAAGAATTCACTTCGAATTACTCCTACTTAAATATTCAGTCTCTTTTTAATCATATTTTTACACCTGCAGTTAAGTAGTGCTCCGACAGAGTCTTAGCCTTATCTTTAAAGCATGCAAATTGCATGACTGGATTTTGTAAAGAAGGCTGCATTTACCAAGGGGAAAGTTATCACAAACATGACATCATTAACAATATTAAAGACACTACTAAGTTTAAAAGACTCATTATCCTGGATTACGTTCTTATCCAGATCAATATATACATGTGCGCGCGCGCGCACACACACAGACACACACACACACACACACACATACATACACGTCCAGTTCTGGAGCATACTCCAGATTCAGCCTCAGATATATTTCAGCTATAACACTAGGAAGTTGTGCTGAGACTTGAAAACCAGCTTGTAAACGTATGCTTGCCTGTAGTAAATCTTTAGCTACTGGAGCTACAACTGCTAACATGTGTGAGATTCTTAGTTTTCTTGTATAACCAAGGGAACAGTAAATAATAGTATGTTAAAAAAAAATGATATCCTACGACTACTAAGGGAAAGCACAATTCAACTGCAACATATGTTTCTGAAGGACCACAGCCTCATAAATAGAGATGAAGAAAAAAAAAGAAATTATAGGAAGAGGTTTGTTGCTAAAAAGAAGGCCCTGGTGACAGCCATCTACATAACCTACTGCAGTAAAGAACAGAGCACCATTTTCAAAAGCTGATTAGAAGAAGATTTATTAAAGACCTATGGTGATCTGGGAACCAGAGAACACAAATAGACAAAGCATCATTCCCAAACCTTGAAAGGCTGCCAACATACAGCAGAATTGAGAAGACCTAAGAGCAAACAGATTTCAAAATCCACAATCGTGAACAATTAGAACTCAAATATTCTTGGATTCTCACTAAAGTATTAAGTATGTGAAAAATAATTTTAAAATAGATTTCCCACTTAAAAACAAATATTGAGACTTCAAGATACAGTCTGTTAATCTCTGATAATTAAAGTAATAGTAATGACAGTCATGATAACAATAGTAATAAACATAAACACAAAGGAGTGTTGGAAAATAAGACAATGCTTTCTGCACTCAGGAAAATCTCTAGAGAGAGGGTTAGGACAAATAATGAGAGTATGTGTTGAGTGCTTTTATGAGAGCAGGAAATAGACCATATTTATTTCTGTTGGTCTTTAGGAAAGGCTTCGGAGAGGCAAGGAAATTTCAACAAAAAACTGGAAATATCAGGGGAGTTCTTTTAGTCACAATACTGGTGAAGAAGGGATGACTTCTAGGGAGTAGGAACATTCAAATATGCGAATGCATAAACATTTCCTGTATAACAATTGACCGCACACATAATCACTCCACTTGTGGACTTTTATTTAAGAATATTGTTTCAAAGTCAAACTATATTTATTTCTAAATGTGCAAAACTGGACAAATTACTTAATCTGTCTGAATCTCAGCTTTCTTTTCTTTGCAATAGGAAAGGCAGAAAATGCCTCTGGGAATTATTGGGACCACTGAGTTTTTAATATAAAGCATTTAGAATTTTGACACAGTGCCAGTATTCAGTAAATACTTATTAGATGTGCAATTTTCTTTTTTTTGCTTGTGTTTGTTCCTCAGTGATGCTAGAATCATTCAGAATATGGTGAATAAAGCAAAATGAAGCCCTCTAAGTCTTAAGAAGCCTATCTTTTGCTACTTTTGGAGGGAATGGTATGACTAGAGATAAATAAGACACACCTGTCACATGCTTAAGCCTCCTTCATTCCCACTTGTATTTCTTATAACACATATCTAGTGTTTACAAAAATCCTATAAGAAAAGCAATATTATTTTTATTGCTGAATTACAAGTAAAGAGACTGAGGCTTAAGGTAAAATAAGCACAAAAGACAAGGATTTTTGAAGTCATGATTAAAATTTTGGTGTTCTAGGACATCTAATTTTAATAGAAAACAAATTTCAACCGTTTTACTAAGATGAGATATTGGGTCATAACAATCACCCTTAAGGAACTGGAACCCAACAGATCTTGGCTTCCACACGAGTAGAATGAGTGCTGTGGGAAGTCAGAGGCTCCACCAACCTAAAGTCCTGAAATGTTGTATTGAAAAATATTCTTTAATCATACTGGACAGTTTGTCACAGAAAGAAAGAAATTGCTTATGTGCAAAGAGGAATTCTAGACTATACATGATTAAACAAGTTTTCAACAATAATTTTTTTGATTAAACCCATGAAAGTTTGAGCTGCCATTCTGACGGTAATGTAGCATAGGAAACAGACGGTAAAACCTAGAGCTCACTACATATGTGTGGCTTAGTAGATGCCTTCCACATACAACTAAGGCCATCAAAGGAAATGAGAATAAAAGTGAGAAGACCCATCTGCTGTACTTCTGAGATCACTTTTCAATCCACAGCTCAGAAGGCTAGGATGAGTAGGAAAATGCCAGGTTGATTAAGATCTCAGTGAGTTAGAGGCTATTGCTAGTCACTCTGTGCTACCAATAAATGGATCTGTAGGTCTATGCACAATTATTTACATTCTCCATACAAAATCCTCCTATGTGAATACCAAATCATAATTGTATAGGAACTTGAACCTCCAATATCGACTCCACCACTCCCAACTACCTTGAAGTTTTTATCTTGGACCCAGCCCATCACAGACTACACCCTCTAGAATGCTGAACCAAATTAAACCACTGGGGCATTAAATTGTGTACATGATGTAGTTGGTTTCAGTAATGATTGAGCAAAAACCTGTACAGAAATTTCAAGATGAGATAACTTAAATGTAAGTCATACAATGTATACGCAGAAGTTTCTACATGGTTAACAATATCAAAATTTGAAGTTAGAGGGCATACATTTAATCACTAGTTCTGTCATGCACTAGCTACAAGATCTTGCATTTGTCTTTGGCACAATGGGAATATTATAGCATTTCATAAAAATTTTTCTGAGTGCATTAAATTAGAAACTTTAGTGAAAATTACCTAATACAATGCCTGGCCCAGAAAACTCTCAATAAGCAATCACTAATTTCTTCCCAATATTTAAAAACAAACTTAAAACCTAAATTGGGATTTGCAGACCCAATAGTCTTTCTTAAATTCCATGCATCAATAGTTGACATAGCTACTATTTTATTTTCATGCACTGCCACCAGCGCCCTACACGTGTAGAGAATTCTCTTGCTGGTACAGTGTTACACAGCCCTTTGCTATTTTATAAATCATCTGGTTCACTGAAAGGATAAAATTACTTTAAACAACAGCAATAACAAAAACATAATATAAAACTCCATCTCTAGGGACAAGGAGGCCAGATTAAGGACTCTATAATGTGGAGAGAAATCATTAAAACAAACTACAGCCCAATGTTCTGAGAAAGCACAACATATGTTACTTTGTTTTTATACCTTGTTCTATTCTTTAAAAGAGGGTACAACATAAAACTTACATTTTAAGAGACCTTTCCTAAATATCACAGTTTACTCTGCACTTTTATTTAGGTTTTGGTAATACTAAACGTTTTGTTTTTCTTTCTTTTTGTTCACCATGCAGACCTGTTTGACCTGTTGTCTGGCCAACTGCTGTCCTACTTTAGGAAAGTTAGGTCTACTCTCTAAAGTTTTCTCTTTATATATACACTGCCAATACTACTTTATAATATAGATTATAATAAATTATATTAATATTAATAAAGATTAAATGGAAGTGAAATATAAAAGTTCCTTTCACAGTATCTTGCATAGAGAAAATGCCCAATCTATACCTATTGCTGTCAGGAAGAGAAACACAGTGATGTCTGTGTGAATTTACACAGTTTGAGCAGTCTACAGTTTCTGAGGGCATAGTAATAGAATAGCAGGAAACTTGAAGTTCAAGATCATTCAGAATCCCTAAAATGTGGACCTGAAAATCAATGTTTTACCAAAAATCAATACATATCTAGTCCAAAAGTTGAAAAACCAGAAACTGTATATATACACCAGAAAACACTGGTCTATATAATATAAAGAAAAGAGATGTGGAGGTATGACCTTTAGTGGGAGTAAACAGAATTCTTGCATAATTCTTAAAAATGTCTTAAGGGAGGCCATAAGCAGATGATATTTTCTCCAAAATGCTCACAGATTCTCAATCACACTCTTATACTTAGGTATAGCCAGGCATCCTTGGGAAGGTGCTAGGCCTGAAGTAGATTCAGGATGCACTCAACCTAATAAACCCCTCCTGAAAAGGAACAATTTTAAATGTTTTTAAAAGTTTTTCTTGTTAAAAATTGAAGAGGATGCTTTGAAAGAAGAAAAGGAAATATGAAAAGGAAGCTCCAGGGCCAGGGATTTGGTGCCTGTGTTCCATACCTAGGACCGGGTTGGGGAAGGGTCCAATCTCTAAGGTTGGTGTGAAATCAGATCTGGGTTTCCAACTCTTTTCTATTTCTGGGTGACGCAATCTGCCTGAGCATAAGTCCTGAGAGGGGCTGCTCAGGGGCGGGGAGGGGTGACAGAACCTGGCCTTGCGGAGTGGGCACTGAAGCCCATTGGGCTCCAAGCCGGTCGCTGCCCTCTGAACTAGAACTGAAAGCAACTTCCGGTTGCAGTCACCGGGGCCGCGATTTCCCTTGTGAGTGTGGCAGAGTGCCGGATCTACCAGTCACTTACTCTATCCTTTATAGTGATGCTACAGGACAAAGAGGAATGGATAAAAACATTGGTGAGCAACTCCATAAAGTGTGTGAAGCCTACCCAAAGGCATGCATGGAGGGAGATACTGCAGTAAAAGAATTACAGCAAAAGACTGAAAACTATGAGCAGAGAATACGTGAGCAACAGGAACAGCTAGCTGTCACTTTTACTGACAAGCTGAAATCGAAGTTACTTCTGATGAATTCCAGTCAAGATAAGAGTTACAGCTATGGTCCTCTGCTTGACGATGGTGAAACAAGGAAAAATGTTCTGGCTCTTGGTCGGCCACGTGATAAAGTGAAATCAGGGATACCAAAAGAAGAATAACCAAAACTCAGAAGACAAGCCATTTCTCCCCCCACCCCCGGGGGGGGGACTTCATCAAGGAGTCCTGGTATTCCTTTAATCTGTGAAAGAAATAATTTAGAGAAGACTTTCTGGGATTTGAAAGAAGAATTTCATAGAGTATGTATGCTAGCAAAAGCACACACACACAAAAAGAACACTTCAGCAAACAATATACCATACACTGCTATTGAAGCACAGTGTACATTGTGCAGGTAAAACAGAGAAACGAGAAGCTCTGTTTAAGCCTCAGGCTAAAGATGATATAGAGTTTCACCATGCATTAAATCTGTCACACCAAGAGGACTGGGTCGCTGTGAGGAAAACTCTTTTGAATCACTTTCTAAATTCAATGTCAAGTTTCCACGTGTGGACAGTGACTCTACTTTACTGCACAGCACCTTAGAGAGACCCATCATTCTTGGACCTGCCACATGTGAGGCCTTGTGCCTGGAAAAATTCCACATGGAGCTCAGGGACAACCAAGGAAGCATTGCTAAATCAGAAGAAACTTTATTTGAAATTCAGGGACTTGATCCCATAGCTTGAGCTATATAAAATCTTAAAACTCTGACAAATCAAAACCCTTAAATCTTGTAAATGATTGTATCAGGAAAACTCTGGAGAGAACTTTCTGCTTGCTATCCGGAGACCATAATGCATTATATATAAATACATTCCCACTTCAGGACCCATCTGTTGCACATTTTCCCTCACTGGATTCCCCAGGAAATGCTATCCGAGGACCACAGCAGCTGCTCTGGAAGACATTTTGTAATCAAGAGAGTGACTTAATGTCTCTAAGTGGCACAGACTCAGAACTGCACACACCTTGAGCATATGAATTCGGTCAAGCAGTTTTCCTGCCACACATTATATCGGGGGGAGGGAGGATTTCCTCAGGCATCTTAATTAATGGGGAGACTTAAGACCCTGAAGAGGGCTGGGGATTTAGCTCAGTGATTCCGCCACCTATCTTGCAAGCACAAGGTCTGGAGTTTGATCCCCAGTACCCCCGCAAAACAAAACAAAACAAAAAAACACTGAGGAATATATCAAGTTCTGTATCATGATATAAATATTTGATTGTAACCCAAATTAAAGATATTTATAGAAAATAGTGTCATGGTTATTTAATTTTTTTTCTAAAATTATTTTGTAACTTTTACCTTTTAAAAGATCATTGTTTAAGGAAACGAGGAAAAAATAAGAACTAAGATACATCATCTAAAGGTACAAGATTCTAATGATGAATGTAACTGTATTGTTTACCTTAAATGTACCAAGAAACAATGGAAAAAAGATCATTGTTTAAAAAACTGTAATGCATTGTACTCTTGTTTACAGTATTATAGTTCAAATTTACATGTGTGACTTGCAGAGTTGTATAATCATATTTGTTTAAAATATGTAAGCTTATTGCTTGGATTTCTAATGAGACCAATTGAATTTGATGATGTCAAATATTCATAGGGTTTCTGTTATTTTCATTTTAAAAATTAGTTTATGCTATAGGTAATGTTCTTTATAAATGTACAATAGAGAATAGCAGATAACATAAACATCTAAATAAACACCAAATTGAAGATATGTATTCCCCAGTGATAATTATTGAAACATTTTTGAATTTTTTTAATCTTACATATGGTTTTAATTTACTATGTACATACGTACATGATGGAATGAATTAAATATTAAGAGTTACTTAATAAAAGGTACTGGGAGAAACAAAATAAGATGAGGAGTGTGAGAGGGCTACACTGCTTTTTCTAACATCACTACTCCTTTAGCGTCATGGACACACCCATCTAATTAGTTGGCTACTGCTTTATTCTAATGTGTTTTTCTCATCCTTTATTTCTAAAACCCCTTTTTTCCTTATGTATGGTCTGATTTAGCTTTGGTTCTTGTCTTCCCTGTCTTTTAATATACCTTCATGTCACTCAGAGGCAAACGCCAAATGGCCCATTACCAAACTCAGACTCAGGGCCATTAGTAAAGATTTTGGGCAAAGGCTGATGTTAATCTCCATGAGCAAATTTACACTGAATGCTTCAGCTCTGGGACAATATTCTGCTGTCTATTAGCAGCCAGAGAAACCCCATTTGGCCAAAAAGGTTAGGCCAAATAAATAAAAAAAGCTCTCTATGTATGTTTCTGGGATTCAAGGAGAAAACACTGTCTGCTGACTGTCCAATTCAAATGCTTTGGTCTCCAGAGCAGTGAATGGTTGGAGCTGCCTGTATGCTTGGCATAACATTGTATTCTTTCCACACCAGATGGCACAGAAGTTTATCTCCCTTCTCTGCCACATTCTAAATTATTCCAGCTCCCAGAATTCTCTGCAGCACAGGGCCCAACATTGGGAATACAGTCCATTTCTCCTCAGGTCTAAACAGGAGACCTAAGGATGGCAGCAGAAGGAGAATCTCTCAGGGAGAGAATGACTCTTGAGAAGTATTCTCACTTAAGAAATAGTGAAAACCATCCTAAGGATGGAATACCTGGGTCATAGTGACAACAGCATCACAGAGAAAGGTAATGGAGAAAGATAAGCTCAGGAGGCATTTCTCTCTCAGAACAATACTTACATATCCTACAGCAGAAAAAGAGGGAATTAAATGTTCAACTACTGAAGACCACTCTGTGTGTCTAAAAGACCCTCTTTGTCCTTCATAGAAGCCACTGTGTTGGAGCCTTCTCTTTAGACAAAGGATTTTTCTCACATCTCTTTCACTGAGTCAAAGGAGCCCACAGAATTACATCACATCCTAATTAGCTATTAACTCATGAGATATTGTTCATGTCACATCACCCTCTTGACCTTAGTTTGTCCTTTGGTAAAACAAAGTCCTTTAGATCTAAATATATGTGATGGTAATCAGTCTTACAAGAGCAATAGATGTAATTATTTTTATTCACAAATTAATGATTTTATATTTAGAGTGAATGGATATTTTCTGGTGAAGAGAACTGAGCAACTCTGACTTTGGGTGATCTGCAAAAATGTTTTACAGATCAGTGACTCTCAAACTTTTCCTAACATATTCAGTAAAGAAGCACATTACCATTAGCAGCACTGGCTCTTAGTGATATGAGTTGGAACATTTAGGTATTAAATACAGGAAGGAGTACTTATGGAATGAAATTCCTCAATAATTGTGATCTGTCCTTTTCATGACATGTTGAGAATCACACCTGTAGACTAAATTTACCTATTGAAACTTATTGTCTATTCATGTTACAAAAGAAAGATCACCCAGGTTCTGGTTGACATAACAAGAGAAAAATTTCCAGGATGTAGTGTGAATATGCCTCGGATACATTAATCATTAGATGATCTCTGTTCAGCAGAAGACTAAGGTAATAATTCTTTTTTAAAATTGATTTTATTGGTACTGTGGACCCCTGAAACATTACTGGAAACTTTTGCAGTAGGCCCCAGTCTCCAACTCAGTGTATGACACTGATCTGAGAAAAAAACAAAACAAAACAAAAACATAAAAGACAGAAAGCAGCGAACCAGGACAACCAACTCCGGTACAACTAACAAAGTCGCCGGTCCTTCCAAACCACTCGTTTTTATCAGTAATCAATTGAGGCAAAGGAGAGCTGCATGCAGGGGTCAGATTATGTGCAAGGATGCACAGTCACGAAGTTTCTATGGAAATTAATGTAAGTAAGCCTTGTAAAAGGCAAGACAGAGTATTGTTCAATTAGGAATAGAAAAAATATATGGTTGTAATTAGAACAGTGTCATTCTACTTAAGATTTTAGTGGTGGGTACAGAATTTGGATGTGAGTTACTCTGAGCTCAGCACACAGGCTTCGGCTGGACTTGCCTCTATAAATAAGTGAACTGTGGGGTTAACTCTTCACAGTCTCCACTGCTTACAGCCTGCTTTGGGCATAATCGATATGGCACTCTCTTGAGATGGGCACACGATATGAGATATAAATATTTCTCACATTCGTTACAGGGAATCTGTGCCTGTACATAATATATCTTAATTATTCTTTTTTCTCCGTTCCTCCCTGCTCCCTTCAACCCTTCTTCCCCTCCCCATTTACAAAAGCTTTGTTTACCTTTTTTCCTTTTATTCTCTTTTTTTCCCTCTTCCCTTCCTTTCCTTCTCCCCTCCCCTAGTTCCCCTTTGCATTACAACTCTTATCCAAAGGAAGGAGAGTGTGGGGGAGTGGGGCCTTGATTTTTGCAGTTCGTTAGGATTTTTTATTAACTGCAAAGTTAATGAATTTTAATTTAACAAGTGAATAATACAGGAATGTGGAAAGAAAAAGTATCTTCCCCTATACTTGTGTTCAGTCCACTCCACTGAAGGAACAATGACAGACGAAACATAGTGACCTACCTCAGTCTCTGAGCATCCAGATCTGATTTTGACTTCACTGCATAATACCACCATATATTTATTGCAACTTGTTTTACTGCTTAAAAATACGTCTTCCTCTTCATGTCAATATATCGGTAGAAATACCTTGGAGGTAGAGATGTAGCTAGAGATAGAGAGCTAAGAAAGACAAAAAAATGGTGAGTACAGAATATGTGGCCTAGTCAAATTTCTCTATTGATGAGTGAGTATTCAGATATTTCAGACTTTTAAATTAAAAAAAAAACACTTAAGAATTATAAGGGGGAAAACACTGGTTCTAACTTGTAATCTTTGATTAGTCATTTGCAATTATGTCTTTCTGAATTAGGATTTTGCATTTTATCTCTTCATTAAATGCCTTATTCATGGTCCTTTCACATTGTAGAGAATCTTTTCATGTTGATATTGAAACACTTCCCTTTTGTTTAAATTAGCTACACTTTATTTTACAAGCACATTTTTAAAACTTTAAATGATAAACTGTTTACTTACTTCCTTATAGTTCACAGTTGTGATATCTCCCCATAATTATATTGAAGATAATCATTATACATAAAGAATATTCATAAAGGTTTGACTATTCACCTATGA